TGGAATATCACTCAGCGATCAAAGAGAATGAAATCTTGCCATTTGCAACAATGTGGATGGGAATAGAGTGTATTATGCTAAGTGAAATAAGTTAGAGAAAGACAAATATTATATGATTTCACTCATATGTGGAATTTAAGAAACAAAACAGATGAACCTAGAAGGGAAGGAAAAAGAAAATAAGATAAAAACAGAGAGAGACAAACCATAAGAGACTCTTAAATACAGAGAACAAACCGAGGGTTGCTGATGGGGTGTTTGGGTGGGGGGATGGGCTAAATGGGTGATGGGCATTAAGGAGGACACTTATTGGTAGGAGCACTGTTATATGTAAGTGATAAATCACTAAATTCTATTCCTGGGATCATTATTATACTACATGTTAACTAACTTGGATTTAAATTAAAAAAAATACCTTTATCACACACACACAATCTTACTACTGATCTTAAGAGATTAGAGGGGGATAAAAAACAAACCAGGATTTCAAGAGTAGAGAGGCCAGGTTATTCAAAACAACCCTCCCACTGAAAACACATTTTTAAAATAAAATTCACCCCCAAAATCTTAAGAGCATCAAAGTTCTGAAAAAAAAAAAAAAATAGCCAAGGCTTACCAGCCCAAATGTGAGGAAACTTGGGCTACAAAGTCAAGAGTACCAAAGATGCTTTTTCCTTGAGAATCCATCCTCAGCTCAGATGACCTCCTTGTCCTCGGGTAGGCAGAAAGGTGTCACAAGCCCAAGACTATCCAAGGTGGGATGCCTAACGGAAGAGCCTCCTTACAGTGAGATGAAGTCACAAGGGACTACTTAGGGGAAAGGTGAAACAAGGAAACCTTCCCCAGCCCTCCCCAGGAGGGCTGCCCTAGCACGGAGACAACGGGGGAGAAGGAACGTCTGTGCAGCTGTTACCACACGCCAGCCCCAACACGTCACCTGGTGTCTTAGTCCGTTAGCGCTGTTATAACAAAATACCACAGGCTGGGTGGCTTATACACAACAGAAATCTGTGTCTCACAGTTCCAGAGGCCGGGAAGTCCAAGATCAAATGCTGACCTTTAGTGTCGGGAAGTAAATTCTACTGTTCAAGGCATCGTATTCTGGAGTCTCTCACAGAGCAGCTCAGCCTGAGCTCCAAGACAAAAGTAAGGTCAGCTTGAGAGCTCTGTAAGCATTTAAGGAAAGAATTTAGGACGAAATTCTGAAAAGTCTTGCCAAACAGATGTGCGTTTTTTCCCCACAATGGCTTCCCCCTTCCTCCCTCACCTAGGCTGCTGTCTCTTCATCATCAAAGGCTATTCCCTTGCACCAACAGTCACACCTGGCTTAGAACTGCTGAGCCCTGCATATAGGAAAATGAGTCAGACCTGTATGCTATTGCTGTTCAAAACCTCAAGCCCAGTGCCTTGAGAGGACATTGATACAGAGAGGCAAAGAGAATGGCTTGAAGAATCAGGGAGGGAAATTTTCAGAAATTACTCAGACTGGTCTATTTCCAGCATTGTAAGTCTGAAACTGTTGATTCCCAGAGTCAAACACTAGCAGTTCCCTGGAGAGTCATGATGGAGAAATTATGATGCTCCAGATGACAGTCAATGAATTTTGAGAGGAAGCTCTTCACCAACAATTTGAGACTCCTGTCACTCTCCAATTTGTCCACATCCCTCTGGGTAGATATGTGTGGGAGTACGGAGAGAGACAGGGATTAGCCACCCACACTCTGCTCAAAGATGGCCGCATCCTTGTGGCTATCCTGGTGTGAAAAACCAACATTTTTAGTTTTAAAAACTGAGAGACCACATGGCCCTGAGGGGAGAAGTATGTGAAGGGAAGGAGGCAACTGTAAAGAAACTGCAGATAGCCTTAACGTATTGAGTCCAATCATAGCAAACCAGTTAAATTACCTAAGGTCCATAGAATCATGGACTAAATACTTTAAAAAAGTATTTAGTGTCCATTGACAGATGAATGGATGGAGATGTGGTGTGTATATACAACGGAGTATTACTCAGCAATAAAAAAGAATGAAATCTTGCCATTTGCAGCTACGTAGATGGAACTGGAGGGTATTATGCTAAGTGAAATTA